TGCTGCATAAATCATTTGGACCAGAGTGCTTTGGGATCTTCTAGTGTGCTGAATTCGTTGTGCTTTTGGATTTTACAGCGAGCTAAAACTCAGCTCAGGATTCATCCATGCCAGGTAGTTGCCGAGACTATGAGAACAAGGAGATGCTGATCATTTCATAGTGTCAGCACAAAAAATTTACCTGAGTTTGAAATACTAACAGATGTGAGCATCATAAAGGAGCTTGGGATATGTAGGCAAATAAAATAGAAGATTGACCCAATCTTCCCCTGAAATCTCTTTGGTCCACATAGCTTTTGCTCAGGAGCTCAGTTCATCTGCTGCGGGGCAGCAGCTTTTCAGAAGCTAGCTGCCAGTAGCTGAGTCATTCCTCATGTCTGAGAGAACCCTCTGTACAGCCAGGCTGTCCCAGAGATATGGGGCAGTCTGAGAGGAAAAAAGTTTCAAGAAGCTTGCCCAAAACGCAATCAGCCAACTGGAAGTTAGCAGAGGGAATATTTCACAAGAGTCGGAGTGACTCTGCCACGTATTCATGGGCTGTTCCAGCACACGATGCCTTTCTGTCCCCTTTTTAGTAGAAAGAGGAGTTGGTGATGGCTCTCACCCCATCTATTTTGACATTAGTTTTTCTTTTCAGCCACCAACGGCCATTGCAATTCCATGTAACTCCACAAACACACACGAGTCTCTAAAAGCTGCCCCCATAGCAGCACTCAAGGGTGAGAGCGAGATGAAGGCACCTCTTCCTTTGACTCATCTTCCACCAGTCCTGTCAGTTTTGCTCTGCACGTGTGCAGCACAATATTTTAATTCAGTGAGTAGTTTCAAAAACGTCGTAGTCGTGCCCTCCTGAAAAAAGCTACTGGTTTTAAAAGTTTGATCAATATCACTAAGAGTGTAAGTGCAGATGTTCATCTGCCACAATGACAGGTGTGTTAGCAAGATATGGATGGATATGTGGGAAGCTAAAGGATTAAATTATATATTAATGAGAAACAATATGGTTTAAAAGTATTATCTCAAAGATACAATGTGACACATGTTGTGGATATAGTACAATGAATATTTAAGAAAATTCCGGAGTGTAAGAAAGTTCTCTATTGATTATATTAACATCTAATTTCTTGCTATAAAGGGAGATATGTTTGGAGATAAACGCAAGAAGTGATATGGCTAAAAAGAAGATAAGAATGCCAATTTTTAAGAATTTTCTGGATTTTTTCACTTTTTCTGACCTCTTAATAATGAATTTCTTTTTTTTTTTTCTTTTTGCTTAGAGTTTCATTTTCTAATTAGATAAAGGGGAAAAGAGATGTTTTGGGGCAAAAATACACGGTAAAAAAAATCTTCTGTGGCTACGTAATTTGGAAGTTGTGAAGATATATGAAATGATGTCTGGATTTACTGACAAAGCAAGCTAATGAACCAGTAGGACAGAAATATCACAAATGATGTCATGCAGAATGTAAAATTTTCATTGCAATTTTAAGCTTCAGTGAAAGCTTTTCTGTACAATTTCATTTGTTATTACATTTTAAACCCCCCTGTGCAAAGTATCAAAGACTTGACACTATTTTTGAGTTCAAGGAACACAAACTCCGAGCAAAACCACCATATCTCAGCTGCAGAATTAACACTTTCAATAAATTCTAAATAACAAGGCTATCCTTAAAAGATCCCCTTCCTAATTCGTGTCACCAGTACCAAGGCTCAACAAACAATTTTGCCCAGTGAAAGGGCAATACAAAAAAATTACGGGGCATTGTCTACAACTTTTGTTACAGAAATAGTCCCACTGGACTGATCCAGCTTGAAGTCTTTCACAAAATTTGTTTGAAACAGATGTGATTAGATGGGAAGGCAGGATAGCCAGAGACCAGTAGCTGCGACTGCACTCTGGGTCACACAACCCATAGGGGACCACAGTTCCCGATGCAAAAATGTCGTTTAACGCGAGTCGGTAGCGAGAAAGGTGCTTGGGCAGGGTGGGGAGCAGCCCCTTCCCATATATTGCCTTTCTTTACGTTGTGCCTCCTCCTTCCAGACAACCCCTCGCAGGTGGGAAGCGTCTCCGTGACAGTGAAAGTCCTGGATGTGAACGACAACGCGCCGGAGTTTGCAAGGTTTTACGAAGCTTTTGTTTGTGAAAACGCCAGAGCGGGGCAGGTGAGATATGCCAGGGGCTGGGAAGGGGATGCTGTCCTGTGTGGAGACAGCGTTCCAGAAAGGGTGAGCGTTGGAAAGCGGGCTCAGCTAACCACACGTTTCACCTGACCTCTCGCCAGCAGCTGTCTGTGCAGCTTTTCCAAAGGCAAGCGCATCGCACCAGGATTAGCGTCGCATCTAGCACCTCTTGTTTCTCCCGCAGTAGTTTGCAGGCTCACGGTGCAATATGCTTCATAGAATCACAGAATCATCTGTTTGGAAGAGACCCTCAAGATCATCGAGTCCAACCATTCACCCTGCACTGTCAGGGTCCCTAAACCATGTTCCTCAACACCAAATCCACACGGTTATTAAACACCTCCAGGGATGGGGACTCCACCACCTCCCTGGGCAGCCTGTTCCAATACCTCACAACCCTCTCTGGAAAGAAATTTTTCCTGATATCCAACCTAAATTTCCCCTGGTGTAACTTGAGGCCATTCCCTCTCGTCCTGTCATTCCTAATGTGGGAGAAGAGACCGACCCCCATCTCCCTACAACTCCCTTTCAGGTAATTGTAGAGAGTGATAAGGTCTCCCCTGAGCCTTCTCTTCTCCAGACTGACCAGTCCCAGCTCCCTCAGCTGCTCCTCACAGGACAAGTTCTCTAGACCCTTCACTAGTTTTGTTGCTCTTGGCTGAACTAAAGCCTTCCCTTGGGCAGGTGCCAGCAGGCAAACACCCGGCGTGTCCTGTAGCAGCAACGAAGAGAGGAGAAGTGTTATGAGAAGTGCCACATGTGACAGACAAGGCCTACTTGTAAAAGATCTTATTTAGAAGAGTCTTAAACACCCCAGGACTTACGGGAGCTGGACGTAACATACTATATCAGCTTCAAAGGGGTGGCAAACAGAACCTGTTCTGCTGTGAATTGGAGGTGACAGAGTTGTAGACAACACAGGACTTCCAGCTCCACACGCTGTAAATCCACACCTTCAAGCAAGCAGTGATGCCTCTTTGCTCCTGTCCCTTCCAAAACCCCATCAAAGCTCTTGAACAAGGTCTGCCTGTGTCACAGACGGACATGAGCTCTCCCTCGCTGGACCTGGAGCGAGCTCTACTGCTGGTGGCTTGTGAGGAGGCAACCTGGTGCTCCACCGCCCAGGGTCTACAGTGGGGACTTGTGTCTCCTCATGCACAGCTGAGTTTAAATTCACATAGTTGAAACACACAGACGCACCACTCGTGATTTGTGGAGGAAAAATTATGCTAGCAATATCACTGCGTGTTCGCCGAAGCTTCTCCCAGCTTGTTGTGAAGCAGGATGAAATGGCTCTTCACTGCCAGGACAACTGTCATCACAACTATCATATATAGGATAATTTCATCCCACTAATTTATGGAGATCCTTAATAATATAGGGAATAGACATCATTACCTAGTCTTTTTCCGGGTTTTGAAGAGTGAGTGGCCTGAATAATAAGCTTTCCGAGAAATGCCAGCTAATTTGGACTGCTGCTTTCCGTGGAGAAAGCCAAATTCCATTGCCACGTTTTGAAAAGTTTTAAAATCAGTTTTAACACGTTGAATAAGACTTTATGGGTCTGTCGTTTGCCTTTGAATCCAAAAATAACTTTTGCACGCAATAACCCAGGCGAAGATTTATTCCTTGTCTAAAAAAGATGTCAGAATGTTTATTCAGACAAAGCGAGAGCTGACTGTGCTTCAAGCTGTTAGACCTGCTTTACTAAGCCTCGGTAGGTGAGATGATAAATCTCTTTCTGGATTTAGCATTGTCTAGTTGAGTTCCATGGTCGTCTTTATTGCATATGCAGAGCGTCTGCACAGTTACCTTTCCTTTCTTTCTTTCCCACTGACATCTTGGGAAGAGTTTAATTGATTTAAAATTAAGGGAGCAATAAAATAGTCAACCTGGAAGCCTTTCTACCTGCAAAATGAAGCTGAAAATAAGTATGGGCTTTCTTACACGCTCTCTAACGCACAACACATCTTCTGCACACCCTGGGCCCTCAAAAAAAAAAAAAAAAAAAAAAGAAAAGAAACATGCAACAGAAGGATGCATGGGAGAAAAGTGTCTGTTACTTGAACCAAACTGACCATCTCCTCCTTTGTTTGAAAGTGATTTGCGTGATCATAGCAAAATAAATGAAGCCTGCAAGGTTTCGAGCCTCTTTGTGATTCATCTATTGTCCTTCAGCAAGGCAGTTTTATTCAAATGCTCCAGCTGCTTTTGTTTATATACATATATATGTGTTATCCATTCGTTTATTTATTTATGTTACATATATATTTTGCTTCTCACCTGTTTCTGCTCTGTTCTTGTACTCTGTAGCTGATCCAGACAGTGAGTGCCATCGACAGGGATGACCCACAGGAGGGTCAGCACTTCTACTACAGCCTGGCTCCGGAGGCAGCCAACAACCCCAACTTTACTCTAAGGGACAATCAAGGTAATCAGAGTGGACACAGACAGTTAGCTACTCTAATTTCTAATGCCTGCGTTGGACTCGAGAGGCTGCGACCTACAGTGTGTGATAAGACTGCCATTTCAGATAATACCAAGTGACACCTGCTCCTTAAAGGCAGTGGTAAAATGACATATTACTTAATACACTTGGGGGTTATATGATATTTTCTTCTCTTTAAATATTCTCTAGCAACAGGCCCCTTTTTCTTCTTCAAGAAAATGTGCCAGTGTTCTGTGTAAATTCAGGTCTTGTGGTCAGGCTGCAGGCATCTCGGATTACCAGAGTGGAAATTGCATTCGTTCAAAAGGAAACGCTTCAAGGTAGGATAGCAACTGGAACTAGGAGACAGATCTGAAGGGAATTACATTGCTCTTTTTTTGTACTCTTCGTGTTTTCTCCCAGGCACAGAAAGGGAAGGTTCTTGTACTGTTTCAATCTTTTCCCCCAAGCACTTTTTTTTCTTCCTCTTTGCACATCCTCGTTTCCCTAGGAAAGGGAGGGAGGGAGGAGATGTCGAGCCTTAGGGGCATGACTTGGGGTACAGCTAAAAGTCTGTGTAAGATGCACGAAACAGAAACTGAAACACCAGCGGGAAGACTCATAGCAAAGCGCTGGTATTTGAGTATCCTAACCAGAGGAATTTGCTTCTTTCGAGGAAGCTTTGGTGGTTTCGGAGCCCACAGGAAAGCCCTGCTGTGTCAGGCCTTCGCACGACACCTCCTGACAGAGGATCACCGTGGGCAGAGAACGGTGCCAAGGTCAGGTCCACAGCAGCCTTCAGCTCAAAAGACGGATGACCTTGAGTGACCTGGTGCAGAGCTTTGAAAGTCAATATGAAGGGCCTGGATTTCA